CGGGATGGTGAGTATGGGGGGGACATCGACCCATGTCATACCTACAATGGGAGATGAGCTTGGGTGGGAAGCAGGTCACTTGGAGCATCATGTCACCATCTTCAGAGGTTTCGAGGTCCCCCACATAGGAACAAATGTTGACTGTCTATGGCTCAGATGGGCCTAGCCAGGACCCCCAGGCACGAGCGGGATGCAGTCCCCGTGGTGGGGTGGGCTCTCTGCCCCAGGGGCCCATCGCGGGTGGGGGCAGTGAGCCCACTTGCAGGGGCCGCAGGCAGGCGCTGTCAGGCGGAGGGCTGAGCACATCGGTCTGGAGCTCCGTCGGAAACCCTCGTGTCCCATGGGAAGAAGGGTCCCTGCCCCAGCTCCACAACTCCCTGCGCCCCGAGGCCGGCCCTGGGATGCTCAGGGGAGCTGGACTTACTCCCCAGCGAGGGGCTTGGGCAGCTGCAGAGCAGAGCGCAGCCCCTTCCTGGGGGTGTCTCCGCACTAGGACCCACTCGCCCAGCTTGCTGCCCGGGATGTTAAGGCAGGGGGGAAGCCTGGACCTGCCTCGTGCCTTCACACTCCAAAATGTCCTCTGTTCAGCTTTGAGCTGAACGTAAAATTAAGCCCTTTACTGTGGCTTTCTCCACTCGATGAAATTGTCAAAGAATCATTATTTATTCCTATTCCAAGAGCTATTTTATCATTAATTCACCAAACAAGACTCGCCATCTCATTGCTTAGGTGTTCGTAGGTCTTTATTCACCCAGCACAGTGAGTCCAGGTATATGCACGAGCAGCTATGAGAGAGAGAGGGTCTGTTGTGTTTGTTTCTCCAGTCCCCTGCATCGCTCCAGGGGCAGGTCCAGTCCCCGCTCACGTCTCTGTGGGTCTCCTGTGCAGAGCTGCTGGCTCCCCAGCAGGCAGGCCTGGGGGCCTGCTGGCCGGCCGGGGGCCTGCATGTTAGTGTTGGGTTCGGTGGCCAGGAGCAAAGTGCTGCTCAAACACACTTGAGTTGGCCCAGCCTTTTTAAAAAAAATAGGGCTAGGAACAAAGTCCCAATAACAATTGCATAGTTAATTTTGCTTCAAATCCTTTTCTTCTTAATAGAGCTCATTACACAGAGCAAAGTCTCAAAATGCCTTCTGTTCTGGTGCGGCAGCATTTGTGAGATTCGGGTAACCCCTTGTCCTACTCTGAGCTAAGCAACCAGGAATCAGACGGTCATTGAGGCCTTTCTTATCTGGGTAGTTTTTATGGGAAAGAAACTGAGATCCAGAGAAAGAAGTCATTTTCCTGACCTGCAGGCAGAAGTTGGGACGGATCATCAAACCCGGGAAAGCCGTGACTTGTTCTGAAGGTGGCTGCTCCTTAGCACAGGTGAATTACTATTAGGCAGCGAACATGGAAATAAATGTGTACGAACTCTTAAAAGCAATACCCAGTCTTGGTTAACAAGCAAGAGTATTTCACTTAGAATGATTGATGACATGCTGCTCTCGCTCAGTCTGGTGACCTGTGTGCAGATGTGCACGTCCGGGAGCGCTTAGCCCCAGTGTACAACAGACACACGTACGTGCACATGAAGCCCTGTTTGCCAAACTCGTAGCAATTTATGTAATTATACACATAATGTATTTTAACCAAATACACAAAGAAGATTTTTACAACGCCACTTAGGGTCTAGATTTAACTTAAACCACTACTTAGTCTATCTCTCTTAATAGGATACTAAAAGGGAATTTTATGACAACATTATCAGTAGCATTTTGCTGATAATTAGAATAACAATAATAATACCGAGATATTTTTTCAGTAATAATGGTGTTATTAATGAGATTTTTATGAAAGACAGACTTCTTTGGTATAATTATGAAAATTGATCTTTTGCATTTTACTTATTCACTGAAATCAGATAAGTGGCTTAACTACATGTATTATTTCTAATAAATATTCAAAAGAATGCATTTAAACAAGGCTCCTCATTCTATTCTTGCTCATATTCCTTGCATTTAAATAAAAGTGTAATTGCTCTGCTTTTTAAACTGCTAGTTTGGATCAGCTGTCTAACCTGTACAGTGTAGCTGTTTGCTGTTTGCATTTTTAATAGCTTTATTACCATTTGGTGAAGCCTTAATTTCTGACTCCCTTGAAGAGTCCTGCCTTTAAGTCAGCACTACAATTTAACCAGCAATAATCTGTCAAGATAAGATAAAGGCCCACACCAGATGAAACACAGTATTTTTGTGGGGCTTTCTGTCATTGTTAAAGGCAAGATCCCAGTATGTCAAAATGTAACCTCTGAAAGTTTTCTAAACTTTGCAGCATAATTTTACAGTTCATGTTTTTAATCAATGGCTCCAGAACACATTATCTTGTTCACCAGGGAAAGCAATTAGAATCTATACAGAGTTATCTGTGAATAGATACACTTCAGGTACACACACAACACTGAAAGGAGGAACAGAAAATCTCTAGTTTTTTCAGCAATAGCAGTGATTCTTGCATGTTCTAAGAATCTGAGACTATACACATACATATACATATTTTATTTTTAAATTGTGCAAACATGTAAAGGCGGAGAGGCCGGGTCACCCAATCTCAGCAATTTGCAATTCACGGTAATCTTTTTCTATCCACACCCTCCCCCAACTTCACCTTCCCAGCAAATCCTGAATGTCACATACTTTCACGTATAGATATTTAGGTGTGGATCTTCAAAAATTAAGGAATTATTATTTTTTAATCATGATTACATACACAGTCACACCTTAAAAATTTGCAATGAGACCTTAATATCCTAATATAATATAATATATCATATAATGTCGTATATGTGACTTGCATGTGTGATAAATAAATAAATATTTTCAGTTAAAAAAAAATGTGCTTGAGCCAGAACCGAAGGAAGCCTCCTACGTGGCCACAGGCTGGCATGCTTCTTGCTCTTTGTGGGGGTCTCAGCGGCAGCAGCTGCTGCTTTCTCCTCCTCCTCACAGTCCACCTGCTGAAAGACACAGCTGTCGGTCTTCGGGGTTTCCAGTCTGGGGCTGCTCCCAGTTGCACTGAAGTGGGTTAGTCCCACGACTCCCCCCGGTATGTCCTATGCACTGTCACTGCACCTGGGGTTGACCAGATTCTCGTCTCGGAGGGCAAGCAGACCGCTGGCCGGGTGCCTCTGTGCACCGAGAGGAGCTAATGCCTGGCTGGGCCCCCTTTGTAAGGCTAGAGGCTGTCACTGCTTAGTGTGGAGAGACATTCACACATCCAGGGCTGGAACATGGTGCCATCCCGACCCTGCCACCTCTTCTCCACTCCCTAAGCGGGAGCACCTCTATAAAGGAAAACTCTCTTTGTCATGTCAGGATGCTCAGCTGTGAAGGGGGGATAGATATTTAGTTCCCTTTCTTTGCTTCCTAGATTTCAAGTTAATGAATTGTTCATTAGTATCCTCCGATGGTACCAGTTAATTTTTTTAGTGTCATTAAACTCATGGACTTCTATGTATGTTTGTTTCAATCTATTGCAGTTATTATATGTTGTGCTTAAATTGTCCCCTTTTCTGTCCCATTTTTTAATCGACTCCATCACTGTGGGATGTGACAGGAGGTCCTGACTCGTCTTGTACTTCCAGGCACAGATTGGCCGCTTCTCCTGGGAGGCTGGGTTCTCTGTAGTGAGAAGCACAATTTCAACACTGCAGCGCTGGCACTTGGATTTATGTGCATACATGCACGGGACTGAACACAGCCACCTTGCTGTGTCTGCACGCCTTGCGATGTTCATCATGTAAATCATTAAAGAAAGACAGTCGCAAAGCTGTACTCAATATTGTCACTAAGGCTTCAGTGTTTGAATAGTCAACTTCCTCACAATCCCTGAGACTGTGACCAGTTGGATTGTGTTATTAAGTCGTTGAAACTCTAATCCGAGGTTTCATGGCGCTCATGCTAACAGGGCCATAATCAAGATGCCTCGTGCAGGGGCTGAGCCAGGACTTGAGGTCCCACGGCCTCCCCAAAGATTCGTCATGGAGGATGTCAGGAGCCCCGCTCTCCTTTCCTACAAGGCACACGGGACCTTGACACCTCTAACACCCAATGGGGACAAAGGTTTCCACACCAGCCTGAGCAGAGTCCCCCCAGAGAAAAGCCAGGGGAACAGCCATGCCCTCCACCAGAAGGAGGGGCACCGGCTCCTTCCACCCCCGCCTGGCGGGCTTCGGGCTTCGGCCTTGGCTACTTCCTGGACGGCGACTGCAAGGTGTGGTCAGCGGCATGCACTGGGCTGCACTGGGCGAGGAGAGAGGCCGATGGGCCCCTGGGGCTGCAGAGCCGCCAGCTGCCGCTTGGGCCCAGGCCGACCAGAGCGCTCTCTGCAGGCGGCAAGCGCGGGGCCTGCTAGCCCCACGTCGGTGCCCCCGGTGCCCCAGGCTCTCCGCGCTCCCGCGGCCGAGCTCTCCCTCCTTGCCCTGCAGGGTCCTGGCCGGCCGGCCCTCCATACCTGAGCCGGGCTGCCCGCCCACACCAGGAGGTGCTTCCTGCCCACCCCGCCCAGCTCACCTTCTGTTCACCTGCAATGGCTCTGCCTGACTCCGAAGGTTGACTTTGCCTCCCTGGCCCAGGGCCCGCTTCTTGGGTTACATCCTTGCCTTAGTGGTTATCAGCTGGCATCTCGTTTATGCTGCTGGCTTGTAACCCAGTTCAGGGACATGGATTTATCCACCAAAGGGCGTGGCCCTGGGCGGATGCAGGCAGGGCTGCCCAAGTTCCTCTGGTTGAGGCTCTGGAGGGAGCCCTGGGGGTGGGGACAGCCCTGGGGGGACAGTGCTGGGAGGACAGCCCTGGGGGGACAGTGCTAGGGGGACAGCACTGGGAGTGAATCAGTGCTAGGGAGGGACAGCCCTAGGGGGCATAGCCCTGAGGGGGACAGCAGTGGGGGGACAGTGCTGGGGGCACAGTGGTGGGGGGACAGCCCTGGGGGGACAGCAGTGGGGGTACAGACCAGGGGGTGACAGCACTGCGGGGGATAGTCCTCAGGGAGACAGCCCTGGGAGGTCAGAAGTGTGGCCGGCTCACAGAGGCACCCGCCTTGGGCAGGTACAGGTGGGCCAAGTAGGAGGAGAGAGGCCAGGCCAGCTGCCTTGGACCTGCCCTGGACTCAGTGAGGGGAAGGCGCAGGCCTGCCCCAGGGAGCTACCTCACTCTCCCCTCCTAACGGCACAGAGGGGACGCTGCTGCAACAGCACTCCACACGATGACACGCCTCTGGGCTGGCATGGAGGCTGGCCTCCTGCATCTGTGCCCACACGCCAGACAGGAGGCCCAGCCGGTGCAGCAGGACCAGAAGTACTCAGGGCAGCCGAGGTCACCTGGAGAGGGGCAGCCTGCCCATGGGGACCCTGGGGGTGTCCTGAGGTGCCTCCTGGAGCCCCACCCGGAGGGGCTGGAGGGGCTGAGTGAACCCAGACTCAGTGGGGAAGTCTGGGTTAGAACAGAGCAGGGCTGCTAGAGCCCCGTCTGGCCACCCCACGTGTCTGCCCCCCACTGACCGCTGACCTGGCCACCCACCGTCCTTCAGGTGAAGTGCAGGCTCCTTGAAGACGCTCGCCGCCGACTGAGGCCTCCCCGGTGCTCTAGCAGCCATGACAGGAGCCGCTTCCTGTGGTCTGCCCATCCTGTGTGGCCTGCTGGGCCCAGAAGCCCAGGAGTCACCAGGCCTGAGGGCAGACCCGGGCTTCCAGAGGCCCTTCCACCAACTGGGGGCACATGAGACCCCAGGGGGGTCTGCGGCCATGTGGACGTGACATGGGGTCCAAGGCCGCCCAGCCCACCGCTCCCAGCACCTCAGGTGCTGGCCCTCCTCCCCACCTAGGAGACCACTAGCTGGGCACACATCTTCCTCCTGGGGATTCAGGCTGCAGTCCTGTTTATGGATGAGAATTGCCTTTCCTCTCATCCGTTTAGAGCCAGCTGACGTTCGTCACGAACATTAATTAATGATCGCCTCTGGAAGGATAAAATTGCAGTTACTGAGTACGTCGCTACGGCAGCTGCCCCCAGAAACAGAGACAGGAGTCCCAGGGCATTGCTCGTGTCCCGCAGGGTGGCTGCAGCTCTGGCCACACATGTGAGTCATTCCCACTCACTGTTCTACATTATCCTGTTGCTTAAAAATCACGCATTTCACAATCAGTCCCTTAAGAACCAGCCTTGGAGATGCAGCTAGAGTACTGCGAGGGGGCGGGGACCCCTGGCGCCGGGAGCAGAGGCTGGGCATCAGACCCCAGGGCCTCTGCAGGCTGTGGGAGCCCGGGGAAATCACAGAGAAGACACGCTCAGTCTATCGCACACCAGCCACTGTGGAAGCCGGGGAGACCTGGGCGATGCAGTGACCGGGGGCTCGGGGAATGTCTGTCAGCGTGACGGGATGGAGGGGAGGCACGCAGCACTGCAGCCACGCACGACCCGCATCCCGGGGGGAACCTGGCTGAGTGAGACTCAGACAACTTCCCCGTCCCTGCCTCTTTCCCTCGGGCACTGATGTCCCCTCGCTTCCTGTCCGTGAAGGTGGGGTTAGCGTGGACCCAGGGTCGTTCCAGGGCACGTGGTGGGGCGGGCTGAACTGGAGCTGGGGGTGCAGGGGTCCAGCACCCACAGGGAACCCATGACTGACGTGGGGAAGGAAAGGCCCATGGCATTATTGTATTATTATTAGTTTTTCTATCATACGCTGAAAAAAAAAAACATTAGCAAGTGTTTCACGCACTGAACAATGGTGGGTTGATCAGAAGCCAAAACCCAAACGCCTGAGGGTGACCAGGACTGCTTGAGGCCTTCCTCCCGTGTAATCGTTTGTTGCAGGTTCAAGGGAACCAGATCTGGATTGTTACAAACCTCAACACAGGGAGGGACCTTGACAGACAGCCAGATTTCTGTTTTCAGCCAGTTTAGGGTTACTATGATCTCATGACTATGCTTGAAAGACCGTAAGTGATCGCATCTCAGGTAGCCATCTGCTCTCAGTGGCTGCGCATCCTTGATGCCGATTTCCCCCGATTACGGGGCCCAGCGAGCCAGGCCCGGCGTTCACCCGCTTCTCCTGCAGAAACAATCTCCGGATCGGCCCACCAGCTTCTCGCTGCAGTCAGCGGTTGTAATGGGTCAAGCATTAAATTAACCCTTTAGCCGGTCCCCCTGAGAATACCACACTTGTTAAAAAGCAATTGACTTTTCAATCACCATCCCCCTGGGGATAGAGGAGGAGCTTGTCAGCAGGCTCCCTGGCTCCCCCCTCAGTGTCCAGCCCTTTTAGGATTGTTCTGTGTGCTAAGACACAGGCCAGCCTTGAGAGCCAGCTTCTTAGGAGAGTTCGTGTTGGGGTCGTTTCATCGTCTGGAAGCCGAGGCATCAAACCCTTGTGGTCTGAAACATTCTGTTCAAAGGCAACATAGTGAAGTTTGACAAAGGCTGGATGAATTATTAATTGCACTTTATGGAAAAACGCACCTGTTGGGACTGTGAGTCATCCAGGGAAAGGCTTCCTGAGACACACGGCTTCCTGGTCTGCTGGCTCCGTCACCCTGCATCTTGCCCAGAAAGGCCCACCTGAAAGCCGAGGGCTGCGAGGCCTGGCAGAGGGAGAAGCAAGGGTTTGCGGAGCGGTCACCCCCTCTCCCGGGTCGGGGGTGTGGGCAAACCCCTGGGGACACGGCATGAGTGCAGGCCTAGAAAACGGGGCACCCACAAACAGGGAACATCTAGGGACCTTGATGCTCTGTATTGCGGAGGAATCACAGCGTGTGGGTCGGGGTGGGGCCCTGGGTCTCTCGGTGCCGTAAACTTACTGAACAGGTGGGCAGTGTGTGGCTTGAAAAGTCTCACTGGCAACAACAAGCGTCTGGGCAACGTTGGCCTTCATTCACCATGTCTGAAGCGAGGACCGTGTCCCTGCAGAGCCCTCAAGATGCCTCCAGCAGGTGCACTGTGGCCGCTGAAAGGAAGCGCGTGGGCACCAGGTCTCTGTGCCCCTGACAGCGCAGGGGGCTCCGCCACGCTCACGGACCTGGGAGTGATCTTGGGCTTGATTTCAGACCACTGTCAATTTGCCCCACAGTGGAAAGGTGGCTGTGCGGGGTCATGAGAGCGAGACGGCGCTGGGGGGCGCATGCACGACTGTACTGCCCCCTGGTCTCCCAAACGCTCACACCACGTGGGGTCTTAGCAGCCAAGGGGTGTGAGATGCCCCCTGACTCAGGGGAGCCGCTCACACCTGGTGAGGATGCGGGTCCCACCCAGTGAGTTCGGAACCCTGCCACTCACGCAGCTAGACGAGGCCGAGGCCTTCTGATTCTCACCTCACGCAGGGCCAGGTGCTCACTCTGGGCCTCTCGGAGGATCCAGGAGCTCCGTGCTGCCCATGCAGGGTGTCCTGGGGGCAGCTCTGCCCATGGCCCCCCAGGTGGGGGTGGGGCGGTGGGAGAATAGGCACAACAGCCTGGTGAGCAAGTCTCTTGGCATCTCCAGATCAGCGTCAATGACCCCCAACACCAGTGATACGCGTTCCTGGGCAGGTGGACACAGAATGATCTGGGCAGGACAGTCCATCTCTGCTGCTCTGGACGGAATCATGCCCCCAAATCCTTATGTTGAGGTCCTGACTCGCAATGGGACTGTGTTTGGAGAGGGCCCATTGGGCAGTCATAGAGTTAGGTGAGCTCATGAGGGGGGGTGTCCTGATGGGGTCAGCGTCCTCACAAGGGACACCAGGCGGCTCTGTGCTCCCCTCCCTCCCCTTCACCCCACCCTTCCACCATGTGAGGACACAGCCATCTGCACATGAGGCAGGCTCTCACCAGACCCCAGACCCACAGCACCTTGATCCTGGTCTTCCCAGCCTCTGCAGTTGTAAGGAATGGGTTCCGGTGGCCCCAGCTGCCCAGTCCACGGGGCTCTGTGTGCAGTCCAAGCTGAGTAGGACAACTGGCAACCGATAGCTGGGCCAAGAGGGAACGCATCACGTTTTTGTACAGAAGATGTAGCCACGTTTAGACATAGACACGGAAAGAGGAAAAGGTTTTCTGTTTTAGGACGACTTAACTATTTTGTATGTAGATCACGAGAGGACAGAAGATCACACAAGTTGCTGCTGGGGCGTCTTCTCTGCAGTGGGATGGGGATGTGGGGCACGAGAAGTGGGGGAGGTCGTGCTGACGCAAGTCTCTAGGAAGAGCGGGACTTCCCGGCCACGTGGCCCCTTTCACCCGAGGACAGACTCACAAACCCAACTGCAGGACACAAATGTTCATGACGACCACCTGCGCTTCAGGATGCAGGAGAAATCAGCTGCAAAGACATTTTTTTTTAAAGCTCGTTTTGCAAGGTCACCCACCAAGGTAATGGAAGAGCTAGAAATAAAACTCAGGTGTCCCTCCCGCGGTGCTGCCCTGGCCCCGCATCTCCTGGGAGCAGCAGGTGCTGCTGGTTCTGAAAGTCCGTGGAAAAGTTTCCAAGTGTTGTTTTTCTCCCCATGGGCCATGGTCACACCCATCCTCCTAGCAACGGGGAGGAGAGGGCAGGGGCGGAGAGCCCTTGGTGCCAGGCATCGTGACCTCTCAGCTCACTTGCAGCTCCATCTGCAGAGAATGCCTGCCCGGTGTGGGGCCGTTGGGACAATCTGCCTGATATTTCACGCTCATAATTATCTTTTCAGTCAAGGTGAGAGCCGGTAAGTCTAGTCATGTCACTGACAGCAACATCTCAACCTTCTTGAGTTCCACTGTGTCTTCCAAAAGTTGAAGTCCTGAACAGCAGTAGGTCAGCAGGCAGCCTCACTGGACACAGGTTCGTGGCAGACATCACTGATTAAGATGATGCCGTATTGGAGTAGGGTGGCCCTAAATCCAATGTACTGGTGTCTTTCTAAGAAAAAGAGAGAGACGTGCACAGGGAGAAAGCGCCAAGCCAGGGGACCTTGTGGACGCTGGCACCCACAGCTGGGAGGGGCAGGCAGCCGTCTCTTCTGGAGCTTTCAGGGCAGAGCCACGCCCACACCTGGGTCTCTGTGTTTCAAGCCACCCAGCTGGGACCTCTGTTACAGCAGCCTGAGGAAGCTAGCATCAGTTGTTCGGATCATTAACTCCTGAAATTAATGTCCAGTTTGCCCTCGTACAAATGAGAGGCCTGATGTTCACAAGCAGGCAGTTCTGCCAGCTGACCTGGTCTCATTGCAGAGAGTACGGCGTGAAGTCTCAGAGGCAAGAGTGGAAGCCCAGGTGGCCTTCTGTCCACCCCCCGCAGTCCCTTCCGTCCTGCGGCTGCCGGGGCCACGGGCTCCGGGGCTGCGCTCTGAGCTTGACAGCTTAGCCAGCACCCAGCACAGGCCAATTCCTCCCCCGGAACCGGAGCCAGGGCGGGCAGACGCCTGAACCCGGGAGGCTCTCTCTGACCCTCCATGGCCCAACACCCCCAAAGTCTGACGCATAGCACGGCCGAGCCAGAAGGAGCAGGGCCCCAGCTCGATGGGAAATCAGCATCCATGAGCTGGCCCCGCTGCGGGGTGGGTCACGCGGTGCTTCCCAACACCTGCTGCCTCCTCCCAACACTTCTGAACTTTAAGTATCTTGTTGATTATTTTCTGATTATGCATACCTAGTTTCCCACATACCCACACTTACCAAAAATATCTGAGCATCTCCCAATTACAGAATGGCAGAATTTAGAAGTTTCCCAATTTCTTCTCCCAAAGATAACCCCACCTAAGAGCTGGGCATTACATGAATGAAATGCCCAGGTAAATGCTAATTTATTTGCAGTTGCATGTTCAGTGATAAAACCAGGAAAGGGGAACAATGGGATCTGAAGGACCAGGAGGTCTTGGGCTCTGCGATGTTAAAGCTCCTCCCGCTGTTGTGCCCTGACCACAGTGCTGACATTTCTGGAGGAGGATCCTGGGGGTGTGTCAGCTGCACGCACAGTCGTGGGCCAGGCACTCACCCCGCGTTTCTGTCTCTGATGAGCTAGGTCAGGACCGAGAAGGGAGAGCACAGGCCATCAGCCTTTTCCCGGACGCCCCTCTAACTCTGCGCAGGCCCTGCCCTCTTGGCTCGGCCCCCAGCTCCTCGTGCACACAGGCGCCGGGAGGCCCCAGTGCCCAGGCTCCAGAACTCCTTCCGAAGCCATGGTCTAGACGGCCTCCAGTAGGCAAACCGCCCCATGTGCCCTTTCTGCCCCAGGGCCCCTCCTTCCAATCTCTTCTAGGGAAACTGTAGACATTTGACAATGTACAGGCTGCTCTCCTGAGCTAAATCCAGTGAAACTTGTACTGATCTTAAAAACGTTTATTGAGGAGTTAGCATGTGCAGATTCTGTGTGCCACCGAGACAGACAGAGCTCCTGCCCGCCTGAATCCTAGAGGTGAGGCAGAAAAGAGGGACACCGAGCAGAAGCGTGGAGACAGAGCCGAAGGCCCAGCGGGCTGTCGTGACCTCAACGTGCTCCCCAGATGCAGAGGAGGAGCCCCAGCCCCCAGGAGGATGGTACTAGGGGGCCTGGCCTGTGGAAAGCTGTCAGGTTTAGATAAGATCTTGAGGGTGGGGCCCACGAGGGTCTCAGAACCCTGAAGAAAGAGGAAGACACCAGAGAGCTCCCCCACCAAAGCCCCGCCCACACACTCAGGCTCCGAGGCCAGGCCCAGTGCCAACACAGCAAGGAGCTCTGAGCCAGGAAGAGCGCCCTCAGCAGGGGCCCGGGCCTCCGGCTCACCCACCTGGCAGTGCTTGGAGATGAAGGAATCTTCTGGACACCTTTCAGATTGTGTGCACACCACCAAGGGCCACTGTCATAAAAGGACCTAGGGCCTCCTATAGGACCCAGGTCTTTATTTTTCATTAAGAACCAGGTAAGGGAGAACCAGCCAATGGTAAATGCATTGCTGGCTTGACAGAATTCAATACCTGAGGCATTTTCCTTTCTGGTCTTAAGCCATTCATGATTTAACCAGCAGGATTCAGAAACACTGTTGGTCTGAGAGTCAGGAAACTTGAGAAGAGTTTGAACCCTGGACAAACACTGTCAACCCATTTCTTTGATTCTGGTCTATAGCCATAGTCTGTTTGAGACCACGGCTTGAGACCAGCATCTGCTACTGCCATGGAAAATAAAATGAAGTCACTGACTGAGGTGCCCCCCCACCTAAATGAGGGCTCTTGGTGTCCAGACATTCACAGAACTCCCTGGCTGTTAAATTTCCATGGAGACGTGGGTTTCTGCAAATGCTTCCAATGCCTTCGATACATGATTTGGTACTTATGAAAGCTTGGGTGCTGACTTCTTAGAAATCTCAACTGTGCCATTAGAAAACTCTTCTTTGGCAGAGAGACAGCCAGCATAGACATATGACTTTTGTGGATCACGGGTTCTGGGAAAGACTGTGAAAAAACCCTAAAACCTTGCTCTTAGGAGCTGCTATTCTGTACACAAATATTAGAACTATGTCAACTATAGAAATGTCAGTAGTTACTTTTGGGAGATAAGTGGGTGCTTCTTTATAAAGAAATTAAGTCCACAAAAATTCAAACTTCCAATGTCTAAAAGCAAGCTAGAAGTTGCAAGGGAGAAACTGCGTTTCAAGCCCACCTGCCTACAAAGCCACGCTAACTGGCTCCCCACCTGAAGGGCTCAGGGGCAGGGCTGGCTCGGGGCATGAACACTTCAGGAGCCAAATGGCATCACGAGTTGCTGGGTCATTTTCGCTCCGACTTCTGCTAACATGGCTTCAGTCTTCATAGTCATGTGCTAACCAGGTGGAGTCAGTGATTCCATCTCCACATTCTGGTGGGTTTGCGCTCCAACAGAAAAGAAGATTCTTTCTCCCCAAAGTCACAGTCAGAACTCTCATGGCATCTCCGGGGCTGTGACTGAGCACTGTGCCCATCGTGGAAGGAGCCCTGGGGTGGACAATGCACTGCTCTGGTCGGTCCTGGGCTGTATCCTCCATCCCCGGTGCTGGGAATGGGGTCCACACTGGGGCCACAGGGTCTGAGGATGGGTGACAGTGCAGAGCTTTCACCACCAAAGGTACAGTTATCAGAGGAGGGCTGCAAATGCTCAGAACAAAAGGAGCTTCCCACTGCACCCTCAAAACAGATAAATTGTGGGCTTACCACGAACACCACAGAGGAACCTTCACTTAACAAAGGATGCTTTACAGAAGGATTCACCCAAGGCTTCCTTAAAGCGTTGTCCCAGATGCAGCTGATGGCTTGTTTAGTGATCATTAATGCTTCAGTGGCAAAGCTGGGAGAAGAGAACCTTAGAGCTGAAATGTACGAGCCACTGTTAATTGAGAATCAATCAAGAAATAAAACAAATTTGAAATGGTAGCTAGTCAATTGGAAAATGGAGTTTGATTTACACAGACTTCTCACAAGCATGTCTGTGCAGGAAGCAAGACATCTGTGGAAGAAAAGCTGCACTTGTTCAGGGATGTGGGTGCTGGCGGTCCTCGTTCCCCCAAGGAAGCAAAATCACCCTTCAAGTGCTGGGTGTCCCCAAGGCAAGTGGGCTGGAGGGCTTCCCGCACAGGCCGGTCAGGTCCCGACCTTGAGCAGATCCAGCCAAGAAACCGAGCACTTCCACCGCAGGCTGCTTTTTAACATTAGCAACTGTCTGGGGTGACTGAGAAGCCCAAGAGAGTTCTTGAGATTGGTTCTTGTGTGAACTGTTATGGTCCAAATCAGGAATGCAGATGGAATTTGAATTTCAGAGTTTTAGTTACATATTGGCCATTGAATGCATATGAAGGCTCTCACTAACATTTACAAATCACGTAGGCCGGTGTCTATCCGTCTGGGGATGTGTTGGCTCTGTTATAATGGAAACTGCTATCAAGTTACCTTACTAATTTATTTATTTTTATTGTTGTTTCTATTTAGTTACTATATTGTTTGGCACATTCAGGTTAATGGCTTATCTTAACAACTGTGATTTTTACTATTACATAGCTGCTTTTGTATAATTCAGAGCCATCCATCCTGTACTCTTCAATGTCTGAATTAATATCCCACTTCTTTCTTTCTGTTTGCAGGGGTTAATATTTGCTTGCTTTTGTATTTTCAACCTTTCCTTACCATTTTGTTTAGGACTTTTTCAAAACAATAGATGTTTTTTTTTTTAAACCTAGTCTGACAACCTCTGACTTAATAGAGCAATTTATCTCATTCATATTTAGTGTAATAATGGGTATGCTCGTTTCTTCCTCTATCTTCATGATCACTACTCGTTGTATTTCATTGTCTTTTT